CTCAACAACATAAAGACTCTAGAGCCACATCAGCTGTTTGATATTATAAGTTTATATCTTTAATGCAGTTTTGTGTAAATTTCACAGAAATGAAACTTAAAACCACATGACTCATTTGCATAAACTAAGCGGAGAAAAAAAAACCTTCTTGAGCGCTGATGCGGTTCATCTTCGGTTGGACTAAAGGACATGACTCACTGGAATATGAGTGTTCTCTCTGTGACAGAAGGATGATGATGATGATGATGATGATGATGATGATGGTGATGATGGATGATGATGATGATGATGATGATGGATGATGATGATGGTGATGATGATGGTGATGGTGATGATGATGATGATGTGATGATGATGGTGATGATGGTGATGATGATGATGATGATGATGATGATGATGGTGATGATGGTGATGGTGATGATGGATGATGGTGATGATGATGATGGTGATGGTGATGATGATGATGATGATGATGATGATGATGATGATGATGATGTGATGATGATGATGATGATGATGGTGATGGTGATAGTGATGATGATGATGATGGTGAAGGTGAGTGTGATGGTGAGTGTGTCCTGTGTGTGTGTCGTGTTGGAGATGGTTCATGTTTTCACAGATTGTACGTGTGCAGGTTTAGTGCAGATCTTTATGTTGCAGTAACAGAGGTACTGCGTTTACTTGCACCATGACAAACCGGGACACTGATGTGCTGTAAACACACTCACAAGGAGCCAGAGCCCAAACGTGGGACTGAGGCGCAACTCCAGTGTTTACTCTGTCAGACACAGCTTCTACGCACAGAAACCTATATTCGGTTTGTCGATTAGAAATGAACATAATCGTCGAAATTCTTCAGTGATCAATTATCGATTAGTCGACTAATCATGCGCATCCCTATAACACACACACACTTTTGGAAACCTGCACTGTCACATGTGGGGACCCACTTTTCTGATGGAGTTTGAGTCTTTAAAACCACCCTCATATATATATATATATATATATATATATATATATATATATATAGAAGAAAAAGTGAAGCAAAATCTCCACTGTTTTCTTGTTTGAGATTTTTCTGGTCTTTGGTGACTATTGAGGACCCATGTGTGATGTAGTACCAGATACAACCACCAGATAACAATAGTATTTATTTTTATTTTTTCCCATTTTGGCTTTATTTTTCCATAAATATTGACTTTTATGACATTTGCATCATTCAAAATTGCAACAACACAAGTTGAAATCTTAACAAATCCAGACAATAAATTCTAATAAAAGATTTTATTTTTTTTACAATTTATACAAATAGATTAACAGATCAAAACATCATCATCACTGGTTGATTTTGATGAGTAATAACACACACAAACACACGACACACAACACACGACACACACACACGCACACGACACACACAGACACACACGACACACACACACACGCACACACAAACACACAATGCACATGCGCACGACACACACAGACACACAGACACACACACGACACACACAGACACACACACGACACACACAGACACACACACGACACACATAGACACACACACACACACACACGACACACACAGAGTTTTAGGTCCTCACACTGATGGGTGTGTGTGCCCTGTGCCAGGTTTGCCCGAGAAGTTCCCGGTGAAGTTTAAGCGGGTAGAGGGTTACCCCGTGGACCTCTACTACCTCATGGATCTGTCCTTCTCCATGAACGACGACCTCCAGAACGTCAAGAAGCTCGGAACACAGCTCTTCTCCGCTCTGCAGGGCATCACCCAATACGGACGCATCGGTACAAACTAGGACTAAACCAGGACTAAACAGGTCCAAAACAGGTCTAAATTCAGACTGGTTCTGTTGCAGGTTTCGGAGCGTTTGTGGATAAGCCCGTTCTCCCGTTCACGAACACAAACCCTCAGAAGTTGGAGAAACCGTGTGACGATGTGTTGGCACAGTGCCAGGCGGCATTTGGATATCGCCACGTCCTGAGTCTCACGTCGGAGAAAGACCGATTCACCGCCGAGGTCGACAAACAGCACATCTCCGGGAATCTGGACTCGCCCGAGGGAAGTCTGGATGCCATGATGCAGGCTACAGTGTGCAGGGTGAGACCTGGACCGGGACTAGACCAGGACTAGAACAGAACTAGACCGTTACTAGACCGGGACTGAACCGAGACTGAGCTGAGACTTGGCTGGGACTGAGCTGGGACTGAACCAGGATGGAACCAAGACCAGACCTGGACCGAACCAGGTTTAGACCTGTTTGAGACCTGGTTTAGTCCTTGTTAGGGTCTTTTCTTTCCTCATTAAAAGTTAAGACTAAACTCTTTGTGTTGAGTTGTTAAAGTGAAAAATAAAAAAAAGTTCTGACCATAATTTACACCTTAAACTGTGTGGAGTTTAAAAACACACTGGAGCACTTCCTGTATCACCAAGTGACATCACAAGGTGGAACAGAGTGTTTTCAATTTGAGAGAAGAACTAAGCCTAAATCTATTGTCCCTGTTTCCAGTCATAAGCACTTGTGTGTCTGTGCTAACAGTCAGCACTGCTGTGTCTGCAGGAGGAGATCGGCTGGAGGAACAGCAGCACTCGGCTCCTGGTCCTCACCACAGACGCCGGGTTCCACATGGCCGGAGACGGGAAACTCGCCGGGATCCTGGAGCCCAACGACGAGCGCTGCCATCTCCATGACAACCTGTACACCAGCACCAGCCGCACGGTGAGAACGGGCCTGAACCGGGTCTGAACCGGGTCTGAACCGGGTCTGAACCGGTCTAACGAAGGCAGAGGTCAGGTCGAGGGGAGGACGCACCAGGACTGAACCTCAGCCCATTGACAAACTGGTTCAGATCCCAGTTGAACCTCAGGCCTAGAGTAGTATCTGACCAGGTCTAGGAGAGGTTCTAACCCGGTCTTGGTCTGGTTTCAGGACTACCCGTCCGTGGGGCAGCTGGCTCTGCAGTTGGAGAAACAAAACATTCAACCTATTTTTGCCGTGACCAGCAACGTCTACAACATCTACAAGGTACTAACCCAGGACTAAACCAGGACTAACCCAGGACTAAACCAGGACTAACCCAGGACTAAACCAGGACTAAACCAGGACTAACCCAGGACTAAACCAGGACTAACCCAGGACTAAACCAGGACTAAACCAGGACTAAACCAGGTCTAAGACTATGATGTGGTTTTAGGAACTGTCAAAGATGATTCCCAAATCTGAGGTGGGAATTCTGTCAGCAAATTCCGACAACGTGGTCAAACTGATCACAGACGCGTACAACGTGAGTCAGATGCCCTCCCATGTTTCAGATGTGTGTCAGGTGCCCTCTCGTGTGTGTCAGGTGTCGTGTGTGTCAGATGTCGCGTGTGTGTCAGGTGTCGTGTGTGTCAGGTGTCATGTGTGTCATGTGTGTGTCAGGTGTCGGGTGTGTCAGGTGTCATGTGTGTGTCAGGTGTCGTGTGTGTCAGGTCTCATGTGTGTGTCAGGTGTCGTGTGTGTCAGGTGTCATGTGTGTGTCAGGTGTCGTGTGTCAGGTGTCGTGTGTGTGTCAGGTGTCATGTGTGTCATGTGTGTGTCAGGTGTCGTGTGTGTCAGGTGTCATGTGTGTGTCAGGTGTTGTGTGTGTGTCAGGTGTCATGTGTGTGTCAGGTGTCGTGTGTGTGTCAGGTGTCGTGTGTGTCAGGTGCCCTCTCGTGTGTGTCAGGTGTCGTGTGTGTCAGATGTCGCGTGTGTGTCAGGTGTCGTGTGTGTCAGGTGTCGTGTGTGTCAGGTGTCATGTGTGTCATGTGTGTGTCAGGTGTCGGGTGTGTCAGGTGTCATGTGTGTGTCAGGTGTCGTGTGTGTCAGGTGTCGTGTGTGTCAGGTGTCATGTGTGTGTCAGGTGTCGTGTGTGTCAGGTGTCGTGAGTGTCAGGTGTCATGTGTGTGTCAGGTGTCGTGTGTGTCAGGTGTCGTGTGTGTGTCAGGTGTCATGTGTGTCATGTGTGTGTCAGGTGTCGTGTGTGTGTCAGGTGTCATGTGTGTGTCAGGTGTCCTGTGTGTGTCAGGTGTCATGTGTGTGTCAGGTGTCATGTGTGTGTCAGGTGTCATGTGTGTCAGGTGTCATGTGTGTGTCAGGTGTCGTGTGTGTCAGGTGTCGTGTGTGTGTCAGGTGTCATGTGTGTCATGTGTGTGTCAGGTGTCGTGTGTGTGTCAGGTGTCATGTGTGTGTCAGGTGTCGTGTGTGTGTCATGTGTCATGTGTGTCATGTGTGTGTCATGTGTCGTATGTGTCAGGTGTCATGTGTGTCGTGTGTGTCAGGTGTCATGTGTGTCAGGTGTCATGTGTGTCTGTGTGTGTCAGGTGTCTTGTGTGTGTCAGATGTCGTGTGTGTCAGGTGTCATGTGTGTCAGGTGTCATGTGTGTCATGTGTGTCAGGTGTCATGTGTGTTGTCAGGTGTCATGTGTGTCATGTCATGTGTGTCAGGTGTCGTGTGTGTCATGTGTGTCAGGTGTCATGTGTGTCTGTGTGTGTCAGGTGTCTTGTGTGTGTCAGATGTCGTGTGTGTCAGGTGTCATGTGTGTCTGTGTGTGTCAGGTGTCTTGTGTGTGTCAGATGTCGTGTGTGTCAGGTGTCATGTGTGTCAGGTGTCATGTGTGTTGTCAGGTGTCATGTGTGTCATGTGTGTCAGGTGTCATGTGTGTCTGTGTGTGTCAGGTGTCGTGTGTGTCTCAGATGTTGTGTGTGTCAGGTGTCATGTGTGTGTCAGGTGTTGTGTGTGTGTCAGGTGTCATGTGTGTCAGGTGTCATGTGTGTGTCAGGTGTCGTGTGTGTCAGGTGTCATGTGTGTGTCAGGTGTCGTGTGTGTCAGGTGTCGTGTGTGTGTCAGGTGTCATGTGTATCGTGTGTGTGTCAGTGTGTCGTGTGTGTGTCAGGTGTCATGTGTGTGTGTGTCAGGTGTCGTGTGTGTGTCATGTGTCATGTGTGTGTGTGTGTCATGTGTGTGTGTCATGTGTGTCAGTGTCATGTGTCAGGTGTCAGGTGTCATGTGTGTCAGGTGTCATGTGTGTCTGTGTGTGTCAGGTGTCATGTGTGTCAGGTTTCATGTGTGTCTGTGTGTCTCAGATGTTGTGTGTGTCAGGTGTCATGTGTGTCATGTGTGCCAGGTGTCGTGTGTGTTATGTGTGTCAGGTGTCATGTGTGTCTGTGTGTGTCAGGTGTCTTGTGTGTGTCAGATGTCGTCTGTGTCAGGTGTCATGTGTGTCAGGTGTCATGTGTGTCTGTGTGTGTCAGGTGTCTTGTGTGTGTCAGATGTCGTGTGTGTCAGGTGTCATGTGTGTCAGGTGTCATGTGTGTTGTCAGGTGTCATGTGTGTCATGTGTGTGTCAGGTGTCATGTGTGTCAGGTTTCATGTGTGTCTGTGTGTGTCAGGTGTCGTGTGTGTCTCAGATGTTGTGTGTGTCAGGTGTCATGTGTGTCGTGTGTGTCAGGTGTCATGTGTGTCGTGTGTGTCAGGTGTCATGTGTGTCAGGTGTCGTGTGTGTGTGTCAGATGTCGTGTGTGTCAGGTGTCGTGTGTCAGGTGTTGTGTGTGTGTCAGATGTCGTGTATCAGGTGTCACGTGTGTCAGGTGTCATGTGTGTGTCAGGTGTCATGTGTGTCTGGTGTCGTGTGTGTGTCAGGTGTCATGTGTGTGTCAGGTGTCATGTGTGTCTGGTGTCGTGTGTGTGTCAGGTGTCATGTGTGTCAGGTGTTGTGTGTGTCAGGTGTCGTGCGTGTGTCAGGTGTCTCGTGTGTGTCAGGTGTCATGTGTGTCAGGTGTCATGTGTGTCAGGTGTCGTGTGTGTCAGGTGTCATGTGTGTCAGGTGTCGTGTGTGTGTCAGGTGTCGTGTGTGTGTCAGGTGTCGTGTGTGTCAGGTGTCGTGTGTGTCAGGTGTCAATGTGTGTCGTGTGTGTGTGTGTGTGTCAGGTGTCGTGTGTGTGTCAGGTGTTGTGTGTGTCAGGTGTCGTGTGTGTGTCAGGTGTCATGTGTGTCAGGTGTCGTGTGTGTCAGGTGTCATGTGTGTGTCAGGTGTCGTGTGTGTCAGGTGTCATGTGTGTGTAAGGTGTCATGTGTGTCGTGTGTGTGTCAGGTGTCGTGTGTGTGTCAGATGTCGTGTGTGTCAGGTGTCATGTGTGTCAGGTGTCGTGTGTGTGTCAGGTGTCATGTGTGTCAGGTGTCATGTGTGTGTCAGGTGTCATGTGTGTCAGGTGTTGCGTGTGTCAGGTGTCGTGCGTGTGTCAGGTGTCACGTGTGTCAGGTGTCGTGTGTCTGTCAGGTGTCGTGTGTGTCAGGTGTCGTGTGTGTCAGTTGTCGTGTGTGTGTCAGGTGTCGTGTGTGTCAGGTGTCATGAGTATGTCAGGTGTCCTGTGTGTCAGGTGTTGCGTGTGTCAGGTGTCGTGCGTGTGTCAGGTGTCGCGTGTGTCAGGTGTCGTGTGTGTGTCAGGTGTCGTGTGTGTTTCAGGTGTCATGTGTGTCAGGTGTCGTGTGTGTGTCAGGTGTCGTGTGTGTGTCAGGTGCCGTGTGTGTCAGGTGTCGTGTGTGTGTCAGGTGTCGTGTGTGTCAGGTGTCGTGTGTGTGTCAGGTGTGTCAGTGTGTGTGTGTCAGGTGTCATGTGTGTCAGTGTGTGTCAGTGTGTGTCAGTGTGTGTCGTGTGTGTGTGTGTGTCAGGTGTCGTGTGTGTGTCGTGTGTGTCAGTGTGTCGTGTGTGTGTCAGGTGTTGTGTGTGTGTCAGGTGTCATGTGTGTCGTGTGTGTGTCAGGTGTCGTGTGTGTGTCAGGTGTCGTGTGTGTCAGGTGTCAGGTGTGTGTCAGGTGTCGTGTGTGTCAGGTGTCATGTGTGTCAGGTGTCATGTGTGTGTCAGGTGTCGTGTGTGTGTGTCAGTGTGTCAGGTGTGTGTCAGGTGTCGTGTGTGTCAGGTGTCAGTGTGTGTGTCAGGTGTCGTGTGTGTGTCAGGTGTCGTGTGTGTGTGTCATGTGTCGTGTGTGTCAGGTGTCGTGTGTGTGTCAGGTGTGTGTGTGTGTCAGGTGTTGTGTGTGTGTCAGGTGTCGTGTGTGTGTCATGTGTCATGTGTGTCAGGTGTCGTGTGTGTCAGGTGTCATGTGTGTGTGTGTGTGTGTCAGGTGTCGTGTGTGTGTCAGGTGTCAGTGTGTGTGTCAGGTGTCAGGTGTGTGTCAGGTGTCGTGTGTGTCAGGTGTCAGTGTGTGTCAGGTGTGTCAGTGTGTCAGGTGTGTCATGTGTGTCAGGTGTCATGTGTGTCAGTGTGTGTGTCAGTGTGTCGTGTGTCAGTCAGTGTGTCGTGTGTGTCAGGTGTCGTGTGTGTCAGGTGTCAGGTGTGTGTCAGGTGTCGTGTGTGTCAGTGTGTCGTGTGTGGTGTGTCAGTGTGTGTGTGTGTCAGGTGTCGTGTGTGTGTCAGGTGTCGTGTGTGTCAGGTGTCAGTGTGTCAGTGTCGTGTCAGGTGTCGTGTGTGTGTGTCAGGTGTCGTGTGTGTCAGGTGTCAGGTGTGTGTGTCAGGTGTCATGTGTGTCAGGTGTCGTGTGTGTCAGGTGTCATTTGTGTCAGGTGTCGTGTGTGTGTCAGTGTGTCAGGTGTGTGTCAGGTGTCAGGTGTCGTGTGTGTGTCAGGTGTCGTGTGTGTCAGGTGTCATGAGTATGTCAGGTGTCCTGTGTGTCAGGTGTTGCGTGTGTCAGGTGTCGTGCGTGTGTCAGGTGTCGCGTGTGTCAGGTGTCGTGTGTGTGTGTCAGGTGTCGTGTGTGTTTCAGGTATCATGTGTGTCAGGTGTCGTGTGTGTGTCAGGTGTCGTGTGTGTGTCAGGTGCCGTGTGTGTGTCAGGTGTCGTGTGTGTGTCAGGTGTCGTGTGTGTCAGGTGTCGTGTGTGTGTCAGGTGTCGTGTGTGTCAGGTGTCATGTGTGTCAGGTGTCAGTGTGTGTGTCAGGTGTGTCAGTGTGTGTGTGTGTCAGGTGTCGTGTGTGTGTCAGGTGTCGTGTGTGTCAGGTGTCGTGTGTGTCAGTGTGTGTGTCAGGTGTCGTGTGTGTGTCAGGTGTTGTGTCAGTGTGTCAGGTGTGTCATGTGTGTCGTGTGTGTGTCAGGTGTGTCGTGTGTGTGTGTCAGGTGTCGTGTGTGTCAGGTGTCAGGTGTGTGTGTCAGGTGTCAGTGTGTGTCAGGTGTCATGTGTGTCAGGTGTCGTGTGTGTGTCAGGTGTGTCAGGTGTGTGTCAGGTGTGTGTCATGTGTGTCAGGTGTCAGTGTGTGTGTCAGGTGTCATGTGTGTGTCAGGTGTCGTGGTGTGTCAGGTGTCGTGTGTGTGTCAGGTGTCGTGTGTGTGTCAGTGTGTGTCGTGTGTGTCAGGTGTCATGTGTGTCAGGTGTCATGTGTGTCAGGTGTGTCGTGTGTGTCATGTGTGTCGTGTGTGTGTCATGTGTCATGTGTGTCAGGTGTCGTGTGTGTCAGGTGTCATGTGTGTGTCGTGTGTGTGTCAGGTGTCGTGTGTGTGTCAGGTGTCGTGTGTGTGTGTCAGGTGTCAGGTGTGTGTCAGTGTGTCGTGTGTGTGTCAGGTGTCAGTGTCAGGTGTGTGTCAGGTGTCAGGTGTGTGTGTCAGGTGTCGTGTGTGTCAGTGTCAGGTGTGTGTGTCATGTGTGTCAGGTGTCATGTGTGTCAGGTGTCGTGTGTGTCAGGTGTGTGTGTCAGTGTGTGTCAGTGTGTCGTGTGTGTGTCAGGTGTCGTGTGTGTCAGGTGTCGTGTGTGTCTGTCATGTGTCGTGTGTGTCAGGTGTCGTGTGGTGTGTCAGGTGTCATGTGTGTCAGGTGTGTGTGTGTGTCAGGTGTCGTGTGTGTGTCAGGTGTCGTGTGTGTGTCAGGTGTCGTGTGTGTCAGGTGTCAGGTGTGTCAGGTGTCATGTGTGTCAGGTGTCGTGTGGGTGTGTCAGGTGTCGTGGTGTGTGTCAGGTGTCATTTGTGTCAGGTGTCGTGTGTGTGTCAGGTGTCGTGTGTATGTCAGGTGTTGTGTGTGTGTCAGGTGTTGTGTGTGTGTCAGGTGTCGTGTGTATGTCAGGTGTCATGTGTGTCAGGTGTCATGTGTGTCAGGTGTCGTATGTATGTCAGGTGTCATGTGTGTCAGGTGTCGTGTTTGTGTCAGGTGTCATGTGTGTCAGGTGTCGTGTGTGTGTCAGGTGTCGTGTGTGTGTCAGGTGTTGTGTGTGTGTCAGGTGTCGTGTGTATGTCAGGTATGTCATGTGTGTCAGGTGTCATGTGTGTCAGGTGTCGTGTTTGTGTCAGGTGTCATGTGTGTCAGGTGTCGTGTGTGTGTCAGGTGTCGTGTGTGTGTCAGGTGTTGTGTGTGTGTCAGGTGTCGTGTGTATGTCAGGTATGTCATGTGTGTCAGGTGTGTCATGTGTGTCAGGTGTCGTGTTTGTGTCAGGTGTCATGTGTGTCAGGTGTCGTGTGTGTGTCAGGTGTCGTGTGTGTGTCAGGTGTTGTGTGTGTGTCAGGTGTCGTGTGTATGTCAGGTATGTAATGTGTGTCAGGTGTCATGTGTGTCAGGTGTCGTGTTTGTGTCAGGTGTCATGTGTGTCAGGTGTCGTGTGTGTGTCAGGTGTCGTGTGTGTGTCAGGTGTCATGTGTGTCAGGTGTCATGTGTGTCAGGTGTCGTGTGTGTGTCAGGTGTCATGTGTGTCAGGTGTCGTGTTTGTGTCAGGTGTCATGTGTGTCAGGTGTCATGTTAGTGTCAGGTGTCATGTGTGTCAGGTGTCGTGTGTGTGTCAGGTGTCGTGTGTGTGTCAGGTGTCGTGTGTGTGTCATGTGTCGTGTGTGTCAGGTGTCATGTGTGTCAGGTGTCGTGTGTGTGTCATGTGTCGTGTGTGTCAGGTGTCATGTGTGTCAGGTGTCAGTGTGTCAGTGTCAGTGTGTGTGTCAGGTGTCAGGTGTCAGTGTGTGTGTGTGTGTGTCAGGTGTGTGTCGTGTTGTGTGTCAGGTGTCGTGTGTCATGTGTCATGTGTGTCAGGTGTCGTGTGTGTGTCAGTGTCGTGTGTGTGTCAGTGTGTGTGTGTGTGTGTCAGGTGTCGTGTTTGTGTCAGGTGTCATGTGTGTCAGGTGTCGTGTGTGTGTCAGGTGTCATGTGTGTCGTGTGTGTTTCAGAGGTTGTCGTCTAAAGTGACTTTGACTCATGGGCCTCTTCCTGAAAATCTGCACGTGACATTTACGCCGAAATGTAAAAGACCCGGACCGAGCGGAGAAAGTACAGGAGTGTGTGAAGACGTCCAGCAAGGCATCGAGGTACTAGTACTACTACTACTACTACTACTACTACTACTTTTACTACTGCTACTACTACTACTACTACTACTACTGCTACTACTACTACTAGTACTACTACTACTGCTACTACTACTACTTCTGCTACTACTACTACTGCTACTGGTACTGGTACTGGTCCTGTGGTCCAGTGGAGTAGTGGTTGAGCTCTGTGCCCTTCAGTGAGATGGTCTCTGGTTGTTTTCAGATCGTGTTTGAGGTTGAGGTGGTGTCGTCTTCGTGCTTCGCCTCTCCACAGACCTTCTCCATCAGTCCTCTGGGGATTAAAGACTCTCTGAGCGTCACTGTGCAGAGCGACTGTGACTGTCAGTGTCACGACCAACAGCAGGGGGCGCTGCACCCCTACTGCAGCAACCAGGGCCGCGTGGACTGTGGCATCTGCAGGTACTGGACCAGGACTAAACCAGGACTAGACCAGGACTGGACCAGGACTAAACTAAACCAGGACTGGACCAGGACTAAACCAGGACTGGACCAGGACTAAACCAGGACTAAACCAGGACTGGACCAGGACTAAACCAGGACTAAACCAGGACTGGACCAGGACTGGACCAGGACTAAACCAGGACTGGACCAGGACTAAACCAGGACTAAACCAGGACTGGACCAGGACTAAACCAGGACCAGACCAGGACCAGACCAGGACTAGACCAGGACTAGATCAGGGCTGGACCAGGACCAGACCAGGCCCAGACCAGGACTGAACCAGGACTAGATTAGGATCAGACCAGGACCAGACCAGGACTGAACCAGGACTAGATCAGGATCAGACCAGGAGTGATTCTGATGAGTGTAGCCAAATTGTGAGGGAGGGCATCAGGTTTAAAGTGTGTGTTTGCCCCGGCAGGTGCTCGGAGGTTTAAAGTGTGTGTTTGCTCCGGCAGGTGCTCTGAGGTTTAAAGTGTGTGTTTGCTCCGGCAGGTGCTCTGAGGTTTAAAGTGTGTGTTTGCCCCGACAGGTGCTCTGAGGTTTAAAGTGTGTGTTTGCCCCGACAGTGCTCTGAGGTTTTAAAGTGTGTGTTTGCCCCGACAGGTGCTCTGAGGTTTAAAGTGTGTGTTTGCCCCGACAGGTGCTCTGAGGTTTAAAGTGTGTGTTTGCCCCGACAGGTGCTCTGAGGTTTAAAGTGTGTGTTTGCCCCGACAGGTGCTCTGAGGTTTAAAGTGTGTGTTTGCCCCGACAGGTGCTCGGAGGTTTAAAGTGTGTGTTTGCCCCGACAGGTGCTCTGAGGGTTTAAAGTGTGTGTTTGCCCCGGCAGGTGCTCGGACACGTTCCTGGGGCAGTTCTGTAACTGCTCGTCGGACAATCGCCTTCACACGGCGTCCTGTCGTCAGGGCGGCGTCGGCGAGGTGTGCGAGGGGCGGGGCGACTGCGTGTGCGGACGCTGCGAGTGTCACGCCAAAACCTCCGGAACTTTCTACCACGGATCGTTCTGCGAGTGCGACGACGAACAGTGTGACCGACACCTGAACGAACTCTGCGGAGGTACAGGACTAAACCAGGACTAAACCAGGACTAAACCAGGACTATAACAGGACTATAACAGGACTAAACCAGGACTAAACCAGGACTATAACAGGACTATAACAGGACTAAACCAGGACTAAACCAGGACTATAACAGGACTATAACAGGACTAAACCAGGACTATAACAGGACTAAACCAGGACTAAACCGGGACTAGACCAGGACCAGGTCTTGTCTTGGCTTGGTCCTGTGCTCTGGGGTGGTTCTAACTGTGGGCACTGCTGTGTCTGGGGGCAGGTCATGGAAAGTGCATCTGTGGGACATGTCACTGTTTCCCCGGTTACGACGGGGAGGCGTGTCAGTGCGCCGTGTCCAAGGAGAGTTGCACCCGCGACGGCGTCGAGTGCAACGGCCGCGGCACCTGCCAGTGTAACACCTGCCACTGTGACAGCGGGTACCTGCCACCTCTGTGCCAACTGTGCCCCTCCTGCCCCGACCCCTGCCAGGCCAAACTGTGAGAGACGCACACACACGTACACATACACACATACACACACATACATACACATACACACATACACACACACATACACACACACACACATACACACACATACACACACATACACACACACACACACACATACACACACACATACACACACATACACACACATACACACACATACACA